GTACAACTGTACGGGTCCGCATCTGATCCCAGGATCGCAAATGATCCTGGACCGGAAATGATCCAACCTAGAAGGGTGGATTTTTTCAATAGAAAAATAAATTGCGAATTTAACAAACTAAACTTTCCCAACCCTTAGCCTCAAAGAAAAAAATCTGCCTTAAAACGATTACGTCTACGATGCACTATACAGCATCTTAACTGATGAGAAATCACTGCACGATTGGCCTAAGAAAGGTGAAAAAAAAAGTATGGTCAAGGAAAAATCATAGTGGAAATTTGTCCAAAATGTGGACGAAAATTCCAGTGCTACTCACAAGGTGTTTTTGAGAGCGACGGGGCGTTGCAGTACTACTCAGATGACAGCGTCTTCTGTAATAGTTGCTCACTGAATTAATTTTAGTCTGGAATTAGGTACAACAAAAACAAGCAGTGTCGCATGTTGGGTGGAAACCAATTAGTCTAAAGCACCACGTTCCTGTTGTTTTTACTGATACTGTTGTTATTGTTGCCAGCCGGGTGACGTCAATGGACTGATACAATTTGATTTAAAGATAGAACGGTATACCACGCCGGCACACCAACATGTAGCTAGTTAAAGAAGAACATGTAGCAGAATATTGAACAGGAGTGAGGCTAAGGGTGACCCTGTAGTGATAAAGACCTGTATCTTAGTCAGGACTGTCTTAGTCTATAGAAGTCTTTGGAAAGTTTACGAAATTTCCGTGGAGCGTTTAAGTTCCGTTATATTTTACCATCAAATCTATAGTGCTGACTGGTTTGCTCAAAGTTCTGGACATCTTACTTTCACCTCCGAGCTGAACGAGATGACTTCCTTACATAACTGCAATGAAACGAACGAAAACAAACACGTGTCGCTGTAATTGCTGTCTCAGCGGCTTGGAGTTGACTGTGTTAGATTTGACATGGTCTGCTCGATTCGCCTGTTACGTTTTAGAACCTTTCCCGGCTCATTAAATTGATAAAATTCGATACGTACAGCTGTTGAGCGCTGGAGCAAACAAATCCCAATCTTTGTTCCATATTAAAGCTAAGAAACGCATCTTGATTGTGAAATATGGCTTATATCTTTATATAAAACAGTTAGCATGTCTTCTGAACAAAGACTGATCTTGTACCTTTCGAGAGAAAAGAAGAAAGATACGTCATATGACACCTTTATAACTCTGTGATGAGCAGGTTTCTGCAGCAGCCCCTATCCTTTGTTTACCCCGGTGGGGGGGGGGGTACTCTCGCGAATTTTGGATAGGGGTGTGCCGCGGAGGTTCGTGAACCCTAACCCTATTTAAGGACTAAGAAAGCGAAAACTGATACCCTTTTCAAAGCCCAAAGCCGAAAAATGACACCCTATTCAAGGAAAAAACAAAATTAATAGCATGAAAAGGAAAACTTTATTTCTTCTC